AAAATAATGATGAATACTTCAGTATAATTAACGACTTCTGTTCTTATATATAAACAATATCTATGGAGTAATTCATTATATAAATTGTCTTCCGCGATTTAAGAAATATCTGTTGGATCAAATAAATGACACAGTTTACTTATTTGGATGGATCTCTTAAGAAAGCAGTCTTTGAGGCATCTATCCTGTTTTGGAGTATTTAAAATTCCAACTTATCAAAATATTTGCAGTATAAAGAAATAAAACCTTGGACATTGACTTAATTCAATTTAATATAAAATCGCGTTCGATTATTCAATTTCAGCTTAAAATTTTCACTGCTACAACCAAAAAATTTTATCATACATTCAGAAATAGTGTTTAGAATGTAAGTAAAATAAGGCATTCACAGTCTTATGATTACAAGCCTTTCTTTCATAAGATAATTCGATTTAAAATTAAATATATTTATACTAAACTTCATTTATTTCTTGAATTGAAGTAATCTTTTAAATTAAGCATAGAGTTATTAATGATTTAATGTTTTTGAATAAGTCTTCTTAAAATAAACTATTGATATTCAAAGGTTTACAATAGCTTAAAGAGAATAAATGATTGCCTCGAGCAAATTGCAATGAAGTATTGTAAAATGGAAATGATGAGATATTATTGTTTATTTAGCATATTTATAATTATTGTATGTATCACACGGAATGGATAAGATCAAATCACTAAATGTGAATAAATGAATAGATATTCAGCTTCATTCTTATAAACTCAAACCAGGCAGTCATCAAATTGTGGAATCACCTTAAGTTACAATCACCAAAACAAGTTCATTGAGATTGAAAGTAGGAAGAAAGGATAAAGTTGTTAGTCATTCTGCAGTAACATGGGAAGATATAATACTATAAATTATATTATATTTGATTAGATTAATCCAGAAGTCTTTGAGCTAAACAATGACATCAGTATCAATTATGCCAACCTTATTATTACTTAAGAATAAAACTCATAATAATAAGGATTCGAATTCGGCGAAATGTTGGAGGTCTAAACTTAAATGCTGTCTGGAACTAATAACAATATCAAATTGTTGTACTCTAATAGACAAGTTTCCTATTAGACATATGATGTATACCTTTAAATCTGGTATATATTTTACATTTATGTAAAGTCCTTGAAACCACTCAGTGGATTAATACAAGGCTGACTTAACAGGAAGTTATTCAGTATGATTTATTCATCACTCATTAAAATAAAATTCAAAATTATAAAATTGGGTTGTTATATGAATAACTATTACTACTAATTCACTGTTCTCCTTGTTACACTTTAAAGAAGGCATCCTAGAACTCCTACTCAGAAACATTCGGTATTTGTTCCCAATTAGATACGGAAGCCCCACTGTTGACTCTATAGGGATTGAATTTGATAGGCAAGTTATTGAATAATTTCGGTACAACATGAATAAAGGCTAGCT